GCAAGCAAGCTGGACCATGCCCAGGAAGCTTTGGCACCTTTAGGAGCCAGGAGAAAATCACAGTTAGGAAAGTACCTGCTTTTTATCATTTTAGCCCAGAAAGAGTCAGGCTCAGTTAAGAGTCTCCAGCACTGCTTAGCCAACAAAGCTAGGTTGAATTCATGCAGGTTTCGAAACCCCATGCCTCCTTCTTGCTTTGGCATCCCCAAAGCCCGCCAGCTAATCCAATGGATCTTGTTTTTGTCCCCAGAGTGACCCCACCAGAAATTGGCCAAAATACCATCAAGCTCACTTAAAGAAACCCTTGGGAAATAGAAAAATTGACATGGGATAAGTGGGAATAGCAAGAACAGCAGATTTGATGAGAGTTTCCCTTCCATCTTGTGAAATGAGGCCTTGCTTCCATCCTTGAACTTTGCATAATAACTGATCCTTAACAAAACTAAGAGCATCCTTCTTGGATCTGCCCCACATGGTTGGAAGTCCAAGGTAACGGCTAGGGTCATCAGTATCCGTCATTCTCAAAATACCACAAAGCTGCTCCCGTAAATCATTAGGGGTATTAGGACTGAAAAAGAGATTAGATTTCTCAAAGTTAACAAGCTGCCTAGAAGCATGACAGTAGCAGTTCAAAATTCGGTCAAGAACCCGACAATTATGCTCAGTGGCCTTGAGAAAAAGAAGAGAGTCATCAACAAAAAACAAGTGAGACAAGGTTGGTCCATCTTTATTAAATTTGATACCATGGAGGAGATGATGATCAACGGCACAGTTGATCATAGAAGAAAGCACATAACTGATAATGATGAAAAGGTACGGAGAGAGGAGGTCACCCTGTCTGATATCTCTGGTAGGTTTGAAGTTGATACCAGGAGAACCGTTGACAATTACAGCAAACTCCACAAAGGTTATGCAATGCATCACCAAACTAATCCAGTCACCCAAACTCCACAGAGGTTATGCAACGCATCACCAAACTAATCCAGTCACCAGCAAAACCTAGTTTCTCAAGAACGGCAGTAACAAAGTCCCATTCAATCCGGTCAAAAGCTTTATTCATGTCGAGCTTGAGACCCATCTCAAAAATTTTTGTGTTCCTTCGAATTTTAAGGGAATGGAAAGCTTCATGAGCCATAAAAATATTGTTTTGAATTTGCCTACCAGGAATAAAAGCACATTGCTGAGGAGAGATGAAGTTGCCCAGCAGGGGTTGGAGACGATTTGCAAGAATCTTCGATATTATCTTGTAGGAGTAGTTGCACAGAGAGATAGGCCTGAACTGAGAAACCCGTTCAGGATTTGGAACCTTGGGGATCAAAGCAATTTCAGTTTTGTTTATAGCTGTAAAATTATCATGCCCAGCAAAAAACCTTTTCACCATACCACATATATCTTCTCCAATAATTCCCTAGAAATTATAGTAGAACACACCTGGAAAGCCATCAGGACCAGGGGCTCACAAAGCACCCATTTGGAAAACAGCATCCTTAACTTCCTCCTCTGTGACTGGATAACAAAGAGTATTGTTCATCTCAGCAGAGATAACAGGTGAAACAAAGGCAAGAATGTCATCCCATGATCTAGGCGCATCAGTTTTGAACAAACTTTTGAAATATGAATCAATAGTGCTGCAAACATGCATTTCATCAGATTCCCAATTTCCATCATGGTTGAGGATTCTGGTTATTTGGTTTCGCTGCCTACGTTGGGCAATACAGTTGTGTAAGAAAGCAGTGTTAGAGTCACCCTTCTTCAGCCATTTGATTTTTGAGCGTTGCTTCCAAAACAGCGCTTCACGCTTCCACAAAGTGCTTAACTCAAAGCCAATTTGATTAATTCGAGAGCAATTTGCCGCCCAATTGCATTGTAGCATATCAAGCTCAGTTAAAAGCACCTCAGTTTGCTTCTTGCTATTCGAAAATTTGATCCTGCTCCAGGCTTTAAGGTCTCTGCTGCATCTTCTCAAATTTGTCCCCCAAGATGAGGAAGAGTTACGATTCAATCTGTGACTCCCGATCCAGCTCCTGGCCACCACACCTTTGCAGTCAGGATCCCGAGCCCAAAATGCTTCAAATTTGAAAGGTCTACAAATGGCAGGCTTAGCTAATTCCAGAGCCACCAGTAAGGGACAGTGATCAGAGCCGAGCATAGGTAAGGGCGTAAGGAAAGTGCATGGCCACCTCTCTTGCCATTAGATATTTATGAGCCCACGATCAAGTCGTTCACGAATCAAAACACCATTAGTTCTTTTGCCACACCAAGTATAAGCCTGACCCTGAAAGCCCAAGTCAAGAAGCTCATTGGTGTTCATAAAGTCAGAGAGGTGACGACGTTGGGTCGTACAAAATGCACGACCACCCTGTTTCTCAAAGGCCCAAAGAATCTCATTAAAATCTCCAATGCACAACCATGGCAAATTATTGGATAAGATGGAGGTAGTAAGCCACATCCAGCATGTATCTTTATCCTCACGGTAAGGGGTGCCATAAATCCATGAAGCATGAAAAGAAGTACCAGACCCCATCATGACCACCTTAGTGTCAATCAAGTTTTTAGTGAAGAGCAAAACATCAACATTCATAGAGTCATCCCACCAGAGGCAAAGTCCACCAGCAGCACCAACGGGGTCAACATAGAATTCAGAAGTGAAACCCAAATCCTTACCAAGCTTAGTCAATCTATTGTGCTTTTGCTTGGTCTCCATTAGAAACACAATAGAGGGCCGATGTTTTTTAATGATCTCTTTCAGAGATCGAATTGTCAGGTCAGACCCTAGACCTTGACAATTCCAAGAGAGAAAATTCATGGCGCCCCTGTGGCTGCATTTGGCCAGCCACCACCACCATTGTTATTTGCTTCATATCCTTGAGTCAATGTTGTGTATCCTCTAGGCATATCAGTTTCCAATCCAATTTGCACATCAATGAGCCCTTCATAAGAGAGATTCAGAACCCTGGAATTTGAGCTTCCAACCTTTTGTTTCCGTGAAGTTTTGTTGCTTTTAAAAGATCTGTGGGGCCTAACATTGCCCACCCCTACATCATCAACAAACTTTGAACTCTTATCCCCCTTTGGAGACCCCGTCCAAACTGGGTTTGCCTCACGTTTGAGGCCCAAATGTTCAAAAGCCCCATCAATCTGCTGCACATTGGGTTGGCGTTGGACTCCAGAGATAGGACCAAAAGGGTTTTTGAAAATGGGCTCAATATTAAGGGGTGTGTCATAAGGGCCCAGATTACTAGGCCCAGGATGAGTCCAATTAGTAACATAATGTTGGCCAAGACTTAGTCGAGAGCGGGCCCATTTTAGCCTTTCTTCAAAGGGCGGGCTAATTTCGTCAGCAAATGTCACACCTCTATGAGCAAGGGAGGAGGAGATGTCCCCTTTGTCAACAACGCCCCAGTCATAAAGCTGAAGTTTAGAACTTTGCACCTGATTGTGAGTTGGCTCCTTGCCTTTGTCAGTGTTGGAGTTGCTACCTTGTCCATTACATGTAAGAAGAATAGAGGTCTGTTCGGTTGGCACTAAAGAATTTGAAGACTTAATTCCCAGTTCCCCACCAGTCCTAGTTGCACCTTGGTAGGTGTGCCTAGGATTGTCAGCCACATCGCCACTTGTAGTCTCAACCATATTTGGCTGAATAAGATGTGCCACCTGGGATCCACGGTTTACAATTTTGGTCTTGCCAGCTCTCCGTCGGACGCCCCTTAGGATATTCAGGTTTAGTGGAGGTCGTTGACCTCATATAGCTCTTGTCTTGAGCCAGTCGCCATAGCTAGCTGAGCGTTGAAGATTACTCTGATCATGCGGCATTTGACACCCGTTTTGGTTGTGACCCAATCTTCCACAAGAAAAGCAGAAATCCGAGAGCCTCTCTATCTTGAACTCCACCCAAGTATCTGGGCTTTCACGTCTGGGCAGCCAGAAGCCAAGGGGAAGGGGTAATCTGGAATCAATCTGAACATGAATGCAGAGGAAGCCCCTAGGGCCCTTCTGCTAAGGATCCTCAACTTTCACAACAGTGCCTAGCTTTTCACCAATCTCCGTGGCATTTCCAGTTGTCATGAGGTTCATTGGGATACCATGGGCCTGAATCCAATAGGATACAAGGTGGAGTGGCATCTCCTCAATAGCCAAGTTATCTTGACATCTTTGTACTGTGAAACAGCAGCCCATAACTGACCATGGCCCATCATTGATAACATTGTCTGCCATGCTTTCGTCTTGAACCATGATAGTGAAGAGATTGTCTTTCATGTAGGTGATTTTTGCTTTACCATAAGTTTCCCATGCCTATGTGAGGATGTTTTTGATAGCGCCTCTATTGGGAATCTTGTCAGCTATGATAACACCAATCAACTTTGGACCACTTTCCAGTGTAGAGATTCCTAGGGATTCCTCAAGTTTGATAACCAACTCGTCAGCTCTTTGGTTAGTCATAATGAACTCAAAGACAGAGATGAGAAGAAAAGCTCCCCACAAGGTAGTCGCAAGGTATATGAGGGTCAAAAGAATCACTACGACAAAAATTGAAATAGACAATGGGAAAAAACCGTCGTCTTTTTGTTTTGAAAACCGTCGTGAAATTGACCGCCATCTTTTGAATGTCAAACTACGGTTTTTTTGACAGAACCGTCGTCTATTAACTATAAAGACAACAGTTTTTATGAAGAACCGTCTTCTATTAACTCTAAAAACAACAATTTGTTAAAAAATCGTCGTCTATTAATTCTAAAAACGACGGTATGGTTGGAAAAACCGCCGTCTATCAATTGTAAAACTGGACGTAGTAATTTGGCATTTTAGCTTCTTTTTTTTTTTGTTTCCAATGGTTCTCAACAACGATTTTAACTAAAAAAAACAACCATAATGCTTTGTGAATAATAAATTCAAGTCTAAATCTGCTATTACCCACACCATACATATATATACTCAAAAATTGTTTATTTCATAGAACTTGAAGATTCAATAATTACATAGTTTACCAATCTTGATTCCTACTATATCCATACAAAATATACCATATCCATAGCATTAAACTATAATTAGAAATATATGAGCTACATGTGATTGCTCATAAATGCTGCCCATTCAATCTGAATTTCATCAATTTGTTCTTGTGTATGAGTTAGCTTTGCCTTCTTGTACTGCAAAACCAAGATTAAAAAAAAGAAGAAAAAGTTTGAGTAAGAGATTATAGAACAGTAGACCAATTCTCTACCCCTAGACAATTCTATGCCCCTATAAATATAAGAAATCAGCTTCTATGATGATACTACTACTTATGTAAATACAACTCTTATCAGAAATGATATTACCTGTGGGAACCGAATTAAATCACCCTAGGTCAAATAATTCCTTCCATTTGGGGATTATTTGACCTAATTGGGAGTTACTCAATTTAATTGGGAGTTACCCAATTAAATTAGCAATTACCTAATTAAAATGGGGATTGATTTGATTCCTACCCTAATTAGGGATTTGATTTAAATCAGATAAATCAAATCCATAAATCAAATCCCTAATTAATCAAATCTCACCTAATCGGGGAGGAATAATTCCTTTCCATCTACAGAATTATTCCTCTGAAACCCTAGCCTCCGAGGCTCCTATAAATACCTGGCTACACACAAGGGTTAAGGTACGTCTAAATTCCTACTGAAACTCTGCAGAAATTATCCTTCACAAACCCTAGCCACCATCTTCTTTCTCTCTCTCACACACAAGGCTCCGGCCTCCACACACGGCTCCGGCCACCCGGTTTTTCTTGAAACACCCATCCTAACTTAGGCATCGGAGGGCCTTTCGCCAACACCCCCCGAGTGTGGTCCTTTTACTCCGATCTATTTTGCAGGGAGAGAGAGGTGCGGAGAAGACAAAGGAATCTTTAGGCGAATATTCCCGTGGGAGGAAATTTGCTCCCACAAATTGGTGATTTCATTAAGAGCGCGAAATTATACTCAAAGCGTGCTCCAAATTCATTTTCCACAACTTTTTCCAATCAACCATGGTCGATACAAGACGTTCGAAGAGTAACACCACCACGACGGGCCCGTCTCATGGTTTCGTGGTGGAAGCCTCTCTGCAACCTCACGGAATCATGGCTGCCAACGCCTTGCGTCCGCCTCCTAGCGCTTCGCAGCCACCTCCAACTGCCGGAATTGCAGAACAGCCGCCGCAGACAGCTACTGGAATTGCAGAACAGCCACCACGTGGTCCTGTGACCTGCACAACCATGCAGCCACAAGCGCCAGCGGCCGGAGCTGCTCTGCCGCGCCATCCTGCTGTCGGAGCACAGCAGCAGCCACACCACTCAACTGCCAGACTTGCTGCACAGCCCCATGGCTACTTTGGTGCCTCCCCAGCCTTGGAGCAGATCCTTTCTCTCCCTCCTCTGCCACCACACTTGACGTATGCACCTGTGTACGCGTCTAATGGAGCCCTAGCCCACGTGCCATTGGGCCCAATGCACACCTCTGGTCAGGTGGACCTTAACTCATGGGTTGATTAGCTCACACAAAGGGTCGACGATCAGAACAACCTGATTGGCCAGCTACTCAGGCAGATCAACTTGAACCAAGGCCCTAACCTTGGACCCCGTGAGGAGGAGAGGAGGACGCATGAGCATGTCAGCGAGCAGTTCGAGAGGTCCCAAGCCGATCAGGCAAATGGGCAGGGGAGAGAACGAGATCGTGCTGGCGAGACACAAACATCTGCAAGTCGTACTCTGAGTCAGTCGACGATCCGTTCGAGGTTAGGTCCAAGGACCAATGTACGCGAAAGGCTGGGCCCACAATCCAATGTCCATGCCCGCTTGGGCCCACAGTCCAATGTCCACGCCCGCTTGGGCCCACAAAGAAGTAACCAATCCAGGCTGGGCTCACAAAGAGCTCAAGTTCGTGAACAATCGCGTGACGAGCGCAACAATCGACGCTCACCAGCCCGCTCGAGGACCAACACACGGCAACAAGCCGTGGAGGACTCCTCACAAGCTCAATCTCCTAATTTGCCCCACGGGCAGGACAACCAAGAGGATCGACCCTTGGGAACCGAGGAGGAAGTT